TGTCCCTGCAGCCAGCCGCACGGGGGGTGGGCTCCCCCGAGCTCCTGGGAAAGGAGTGTTGGGGGTATCTGAGCCCTCTTGCAGGTCACCAGCTCCAGGAAGGAAACCACAGCCAGGGTGGGTGGTCCCGCCGAGCATGCTGGTACGGTGCGCGGGCGCTGCTGGTCACAATGGCAGCATGTGTCGGCAGAGGTAAAGAGAAGCGAGATGGTGTTAATTGCGTTAATATTCACCTTAGCGCAGCCTCGGGACAGGGGAGAGAAAAAGGGGGATGAAGCTCTGGGCTGTTGGGGCTGTTGGGGCTCTGGCTCTGTGGGGCTGAGCCGTGCGCTGCTGCTGGCATCCGATGGGAGGATGAAGAAGATGCTCCTTCCTCCCCTAACACAGCCTCGGCTGGCGGCAGCAGAGCAAGGCAGACTGGGTGGTTTTGGTAAGAGCTCTGAGGATTTATGCTAAAACCCATAGCTGCTGTTTTTAGCTCAGCAAAGGGAACACAATCGAAGACATCTTCCCCCCGGCGTGAGTCGGGGTACAGACGTGTGACATCACTTCTCTTAACCGGTCCTACACCCGCGCGCTGCCGCGAGGAGCCCCGCTCCGGCCATTCCCGCCCGGGCAGGGTCTGCGGCACGTGGGCTGTGAAAACATTCCGCCGGGAGCAGGGAGAAGTGATCCACTCCACTTCCCTGCAACCGCTGCTTCGCCGGAGAGGTGATGACGCTGTTACCCAGTGAAGGACCTTCGCTGTAAATGACTAAGGCCGCGCACGTGAGCGCTCCATGCAGAACCTGCATGTGTTTCAACAAGCAGCAGAGAGGCAAATGCAATCACTTCTCAACTACAGTGGAACTGGAGAAAAAAAAAAACACCCAAAAACCAAAAAGGCCCAGTGTTTTCCTAGTTTTACAATTCCCTAAAGGTTTCCCTCGAAAGGTTTCCCTCCCGCGGGGCCTACAGGAAAGCTGGAGAGGGACTTTTTACTAGGGCATGTAGTGGTAGGATGAGGGTAATAGCTTCAAACTGGAAGAGGGGAGATTTAGATTAGATATGAGGAAGAAATGTTTCACTCTGCTGGTGGTAAGGCACTGGCACAGGTTGCCCAGGGAGGCTGTGGATGCCCCATCCCTGGAGGTGTTCAAGGCCAGGCTGGATGGGGCTTTGAGCAACCTGGGCTGGTGGGAGGTGTCCCTGCCCATGGCAGGGGGTTGGAACTGGATGATCTTTAAGGTCCCTTCCAACCTCAACCATTCTATGGAAAACAGGAGAGGAGGTTAAATACTGGAGGCACTGGGGAAAGACGCAAAGAGGCGAAGGGAGTGCCCGGAGATGGCCCAAGGGAGACCATTGTGACGTGGTGTTCGGTACCGCTGGGGACACCGGCGTGGGCGGTGACGGGGGCCGGACGGGGAGAGCGCGGCGCCGCCTGAGACGCCGGGCGGGCGGCGGGGCTGCGGGGCGAC